ATATTGCTTTTTTTAAAAAGATTTATTTATTTATTATGTATACAGCATGTATGACTACAGGCCAGAAGAGGGCACTAGATCTCATTACAGATGGTTGTGAGCCACCATGTGGTTGCTGGGAATTGAACCCAGGACCTCTGGAAGAGCAGTCAGTGCTCTTAACCTCTGAGCCATCTCTCCAGCCCAGCTTGCTGAATATTGCTTTTATTATGTTTAGGTGTGTCCCTTGTATCCCTAATCTCTCCAATACTTTTAATATGAAGGGGTGTTGGATTTTACCAGAGGGTTTTTCAGCATCTAATGAGATAATGATGTGGTTTTTTATTTAAGTTTGTTTATGTGGTGGGTTACATTGAGAGAATTTTCATATGTTGAACCATCCCCACATCTCTGGGATGAAGCCTACTTGATCGTATGGGTGATCTTTTTTATGTGTTCTTGGATTTGGTTTGCCTGTATTTTATTGAGTATTTTTGCATCAATGTTCATGAGTGAAAATGGTCTGTAGTTCTCTGTCTTTGTTGAATCTTTGTGTGGTTTGGGTATCACAGTGATTTTGGCCTCATAAAGAATTTGGCAATGTTCCTTCTGTTTCTGTTTTGTAGAATAATTTGAAAAGTATTGACATTAGCTCTTCTTTGAAAGTCTGGTAGAATTCTACACTGAAACCTTCTAGCCATAGGCCTTTTTTGTTTGGGAGACTTTTAATGACTGCTTCTATTTCCTTAGGGGTTATAGGTCTATTTAAATTGTTTATCTGATCTTGATTCAACTTTGGTAAGTGGTATCTGTCAAGAAATTTGTCCTTTTAGATTTTCCAATTTTGTGGAGTACAGATTTATGAAGTATTATCTTATCTGATCTTGATTCAACTTTGGTAAGTGGTATCTATCAAGAAATGTGTCCTTTTAGATTTTCCAATTTTGTAGAGTACAGGTTTTTGAAGTATGACCTAATGTTCCCATTTTCATTTCTGATTTTGTTGATTTGTATATTCTTTCTCTGCCTTTTAGTTAGTTTGGATAAGAGTTACCTTTTTTGTTGATTTCTTGAAGAACCAAGTCTTTGTTTCATTGGTTCTTTGTATTCTCTTTGTTTCTATTTTATTGATTTCAGCCCTCAGTTTGATTATTTCCTGCCATTGATTCCTCTTGAGTATGTTTCCTTCTTTTTGTTCTAGAGCTTTCAGATGTGCTGTTAAGTCACTGTATGAGATTTCTCCAAATTCTTTATGAGAACACTTAGTGGTGTGAACTTTTCTCCTAGCACCAATTTCATTGTGTCCCATAAGTTTGGTCATGTTGTGCATTCATTTTCATTGAATTCTAGGAAGTCTTTAATTTCTTTATTTCTTCCTTGACCCAGTGGTAACTCAGTAGAGAGTTATTCGCTTTCTATGAGTTTGTAGGCTTTCTGTTGTTTCTGTTATTATTGAAATCCAGCTTTAATCCGTGGTGGTCTGATAAGACACAGGAGGTGAATTCAATTTTTTTTTTTGTATCTGCTGAGTCTTGCTTTGTGGTGATGTATGTGGTCAATTTTGGAGAAGGTTCTATGAGGTACTGAGAACTGGTGTTTGGATGAATTGTTCTATAGATACCTGGTAGGTCCATTTGATTCAAAACATCTTTTAGTTCTGTTATTTCTCTGTTTAGTTTCTGTCTGATTGACCTGTTCATTGGTGAGAGTAGGGTGTTAAAGTCTCCCACTATTATTGTGTGGGGTTCAATGTGTGATTTAAGTTTTAATAATGTTTCTTTTACAAATTTGGGTACCCTTATATTTGGGACATAGATGTACCAAACTGGTGGATTTTTCTTTTGATGAGTATGAAATGCCCCTCTCCATCTCTTAATTAAATTTGGTTTGAACTCTATTTTGTTAGAGTTTAGTATAGCTACACCAGCTTGCTTTTTAGGTCCATTTGATTAGAAAATCTTTTTCCAACTCTTAACTTGAGATAATGTCTCTCTTTGATGTTGAGGTGTGTTTCTTGTATGGAGCAGAATGATGGATCCTTTTCCATATTCATTCTGTTAGCCTGTGTCATTTTATTGGTGTATTGAGCCTATTGATATTGAGGGATATAAATGACCAATGATTGTTAATGCCTGTTATTTTGATGTTGGTACTGTTGGTGAGGATAGTGTGTGTGTCTGTGTGTGTGTTTCCCTTTTTTGGGTTTTGCTGGTGTGATTTTATCTATTTCTTGTGTTTTTGTGGGTGTAGTTAACTTCCTGGGTTTGGAGTTTTTCTTCTAGTACCTTCTGTAGGGCTGGATTTGTGGATAGGTATTGTTTAAATTTGACTTTGTCATGAAATATCTTGTTTTCTTCATCTATGGTGATTGACAGTTTTGCTGGGTATAGTAGTCTGGGCTGGTATCCATGGTCTTTTAGAATCTGTAAAACATCAGTGCAAGCCCTTCTGGATTTTAAAGTATCTATTGAGAAACCTGGTGTGATTCTAATAGTCTAATGGTGTGATTCTGCCTTTATATGTTACTTGGACTTTTTCCATTGCCACTTTTAATATTCTTTCTTTGTTTTGTATGTTTAGCATTTTGATTATTAAGTGGTGAGGGGATGTTCTTTTCTGATCCAATCTATTTGTTGTTCTGTAAGCTCCTTGTACCTTTATATGCATGTCCTTCTCTAGGTTTGGAAAACTTTCTTCTATGATTTTGTTAAATATATTCTCTGAGTGTTTGAGCTGGGTGCCTTCTCCTTCTTCTATTCTTATTCTTATGTTTGGTCTTTTTATAGTGTCTCAGATTTCCTGTATGTTTTGTGTACAGAATTTTTTAGATTTAAAAATTTTTTACACATTTTCTTTGACTGATGAATCTATTTCTTCTATTGTGTCATCAATGCCTGAGATTCTTTCTTCTATCTTTTGTATACTATTGGTGGTGTTTGTGTCTGTAGTTTCTTTTCACTTACCCAGATTTTCCATATCCATGATTCCATCTGTTTGTGTTTTCTTTATTGCTTCTATTTCCATTTTCAGGTTTTGAACAGTTTCTTTCAGCTGTTTGTGTTTTCTTAACATTCTTTTAGGAATTTATTGATTTCATCCAACTTTTTTTGTTTGTCTTTTCATCAGTTTCTTTAAGGGATTTTTTTTCCATTTCCTATTTAAGGACATCTATCATCTTTATAAAATCATTTTAAAGGTCATTTTCTTGTGCTTCGGCTGTGTTGGATTGTTCAGGTCTTGCTGTCAAAGAATGTTGGTGCCATAGTGCCCTTCCTGTTATTTTGTTCTTACACTAGCATTTATCCATCTGGATTTGGGATAATTATAGGTGTTGATTTGTCTTTGTTGGATAGTTGCTTTGTTCCTTGGTTTCTATTTACTCTCTGGTCTTCTGGCCTAAATGGCCAAGAGTTTTGTTGACTAGTGAGTCTTCAGTCTTCTACTAGTGACTAATGGCCCACTATGGTGTTCCCTCTGGAGTTTTTGGAGCCCCTAGATCTGGTCTGGCCTCTGGTAAAGTGGAAGTCTTTTTCTGAAGTTGTAGGTCAGGAATTGGAGCCCAGAGGAGGGTATGCGGTCTGGGGTTCCTAGGACCAGCCTAGCCTCCAGTACAGCTGCTGGGTCTGGGGTCCCTAGATCTGGCCTATGCTCTGGTAAATCTGAAGGATGCTTCCAAAATTGCTGGCTAGGATATGCAGCCCTGTGGAGGGGGTGCAGTCTGGGGTTGTTGGGCAAGTTTTAAAGAGTGTTAGTGGGCAGTGGGCTGTGATTCTGCCTGGCCTCTGGTAAAGCTGAACAGTCCTTCTAAAGTAGTAGGCTGGGATATGGATCCCTAGGAGGGGGTACAGACTGGAATTGTTGGGTGATTTTTAAGGAGTGTTAATGGGCAGTGGACAGTGTCTTACTTGGGATACCTAGATGTGGCCTGGCCTCTGGTAAAGATGAAGTCTTCAGAAGTTGTAGGCTGAGATGTGGAGCCCAGAGGAGGGGATGGAGTCTGGGATTGTTGGGCAGGCTTAATGGTTAAGTGGGCAGTGGGCAGTGTCTTATCTGGGGTCCAGTAAAACTGCTGGGGCTGGGGGTCCTACGGTGAAGCTTAGGGGAGGAGAGTCTTGTTTTGATTTTTTTAAATGAATGTATTTTACCTGTATGCATGCATATGCACCACATGTGTGCCTGTTTGCATGCATATGCACCACATGTGTGCCTGTTCCTCACAGTAATCAGAAGACAGCCTCAGAACCCCTGAACCTGGAGTTATAGATAGTTGTGAGCCCCTATGTAATATTTGCAATTGAGCCTACCTCTTCTGTGAGACCAGCAAAAACTATTAACTACTGAGCCATTTCTCTTGCCCTATGTTGTTTATTTATGATCAACATTTATATTGCTAATGTTTTCACCTGCCCACTTGTAACTTTAAATACACATTCCCTTTTAGTAAGATCTCATTAATGGTACCATTTAAACTGGGACATTTCAGATTTTTGGGAGATGAATACAGAACTGGAGTGAATGCATAACTCTTGTAGGAACTTTAGTAAAACCTCTGAGTTCTTTCTATCTTGTCTGTTTGTTTGTTTGAGTTTTGGAGGGGAGTCCTGGAACTCATTGCATAGACCAGGATGGCATCCAGCTCAATAAAATTCACCCGCCTCTGCCCCCTGAGTCCTGGACTTAAAGACATGAGCTAATACACCCAGATTACACATTTTTTTTTGGAGTTAGTAATTGTTTATTCAGTTTCTCTGATGTGTACTCAGTACTGTTGATCTGTTTGCTTCTCTCTGTCTTTATGTCTGTTAACTGACATTTTCTTATTCAAAGGGCATAAAAATGACAGGGGTGAATCTCCTTTTCAGTTTCCTTCTAAAGTAATTTGGTAATTGCATTAGAATTTCTGTGTCATGGAATAAGTATGGGAAGCACCAGAATTATATGAATATATTATCAAAGAAGGATACATTTACAGTATTGTCACTATCATGCTTTCCGTTGTACACATGTATGGGATATTTTAGAATGCAGTGACCTATGATGATGTGCATGTTGACTTCACTCGGGAAGAGTGGGCTTTGCTGGATCCTTCCCAGAAGAGGCTCTATAAAGATGTGATGCTGGAGACCTACAGGAACCTCACTGTGATAGGTAAGACTGTGAATGTTCCTTCCCTTTCCCAAATAAGGGGATAACTGTTTCTTCTGTAATTTTGACTGATAAAGACTAAGAATGAGGTGAATAAATCAGGCAGGGTTCTAAGATAAACTGATGATAATAACTTATTTTGCGTAATTTCCAATAATATATCATACATTTTCTGGTACTATATTTTAGGCTACAATTGGGAAGACCATAATATTGAAGAACATTGTCAAAGTTCTAGAAGACATGGAAGGTAATTTTTATCTGCAAGTGGATACAAATGTGCCTCTGAAGAAATTTTAATATTCCTGGAAGTTTTAAAGAAAGCAACAGTATAAATAAGCACAGTTTTAAGTGTATTGATAATTATTAAATTCTCACAAAACCATGTACTTCAGTGTCAGGGAGCTGGTTTGTGTTTGTAAGGCATTCTTCTAAGAAAGAAGACAAGGAAACAACACTTTAACAGATATCACTATTTTAACCATAGCTCCATGATAACTATGCTATAGAACTACCAATATGTTTACTTTATATGATTCCTATATTGCAAAGACATACATGTAGAGTAGGTGATAAGTATATGTCCAAAATCTTCTTATAAGCAAATTGTTCATGGTAAAGCTAGTGTTACTCATATGCTTGTAATGACTTTGCTAAGTTTAGTGAGCAGGGCAGTTTTGCTAAGGCAGAGTGAGCAGAGACTCAAGAACATTGTTGCGGAGAAACCTAAATCCATAAACCACATGTCTTTGAGGAACAAGAAGTCAAACTGTGTGAAGGCAATGTGGAAACCATTCAGTTGTTATTTTTCTTTTCATAGGTATATTAGATGTCACAATAGATACAAGCCATGTGAGCATAGAGATATTTAAAGAAGCAATGTACCTCTCTCTCTCCTAGAATAATTAAAGGATGTATAATAGTCCCCACTTTAAGTAGACTTATAGAATGTGATACAAGTTTGTGATTAATTGGTTTTCCAACTGCATCAGGAATACATTAGCAAACTCATACCGCACAAAAGCTCTATGAGTATTAGGAATGTGGAAATTCATCTGTTTGTCCTGGTTCACTTTGCAAATGTAGTATGACTCACACTATAGGAAAATTTATGAATGCAATTAGTGTGGTAAAGCTCTGAATTCTTCAATTCACTTCAAATATGTGAAAAAACTCATATGGAAAAAGGATGTTATAAATGTGAGCCATGTAATAAAGGCTCTTACCATCACAGGTATTTTCAAAAGTGCAAAACAACTTATAATGAAAGGGAATACTCTAAATGTAAATAAAGTGATAAAACTTTAAGATCTGATTCCTTTTTACAATTAAGCCAAATTGTAAAATTAGTTCATTTAGGTTAAAAGATTCATCAGTGTAATGAATGTGGTAAAGTTTATACATGTGGCAATTTTCTTCATAGGCATGAAAGAAGTCATACTGGAGAGAAACCCTCTGAATATACTCAATGTGCTAAAGCCCTTACATATCACACTCATCTTCAAAGACATGAAAGAATTCATACTGGAAAGAAACTCTATGAATGTAATCAGTGCAGTAAATCCTTTGCATGTCACAATGGTCTTCAAAATCATGAAAAAAATTATAATGAAGAGAAACCCTATGAATGTAAGCAATGTGGCAAAGCCTTCACATGTCAGAGTAGTCTCCTAAGACATAAAATAACACATACTGGAGAGAAACCCTATGAATGTAAGCAATGTGGTAAGGCCTTTGCATATCGTAGTTATCTCCAAATACATAAAAGAACACATACTGGAGAAAAACCCTACAAATGTAATGAGTGTGGAAAAGCCTTTTCATGTCATGCTCATCTTCGAAAACATAAAAGAACACATACTGGAGAGAAACCTTATAAATGTAATGAATGTGGTAAAGCTTTTGCACAAAACTGTAATCTCCAAATACATAAAAGAACACATACTGGAGATAAACCCTACAGATGTAATGAATGTGGTAAAGTCTTTGCACGTCATGGTCATCTTCAGATACATAAAATATCACATACTGGAGAGAAACCCTACAAATGTAATGAATGTGGCAAAGACTTTGCACGTCATGGTGATCTTCAAAGTCATGAAAGAATTCATACTGGAGCAAAACCCTACAAATGTGATGAATGTGGTAAAGCCTTTACACGCCACAGTGATCTTCAAAGTCATGAAAGAACACATACTGGAGAGAAACCCTACAAATGTAATGAATGTGGTAAAGTCTTTGCACATCACAGTTATCTCCAAAGACATAAAAGAACACATACTGGAGAGAAACCCTACAAATGTAATGAATGTGGTAAAGCCTTCGCATGTCATGGTTACCTTCAAATACATAAAAGAATACATACTGGAGAGAAACCTTACAAATGTAATCAATGCGGTAAAGACTTTGTAGATCACACTCATCTTCGAATACATAAAAGAACACATAGTGGAGAGAAACCCTACACATGTAATGAATGTGGTAAAGCCTTTGTACGTCATAGTTATCTCCAAATACATAAAAGAACACATATTGGAGAGAAACCCTTCAAATGTAATCAGTGTGGTAAAGCCTATATATGTTATAGTCATCTTCAAATACATAAAAGAACACATACTGGAGAAAAACCGTACAAATGTATTCAATGCGGCAAAGCCTTTGCACATCATAGTCATCTTCGAAAACATAAAAGAACACATACTGGAGAGAAACCCTACAGATGTAATGAATGTGGTAAAGCCTTTTCACAAAATTGTAATCTCCAGATACACAAAAGAACACATACTGGAGAGAAACCCTACAGATGTCATGAATGTGGTAAAGCCTTTTCACGTCATGGTCATCTTCAGATACATAAAAGAACACATACTGGAGAGAAGCCTTACAAATGTAATGAATGTGGCAAAGACTTTGCACGTCATGGTGATCTTCAAAGTCATGAAAGAATTCATACTGGAGAGAAACCCTACAAATGTAGTGAATGTGGTAAAGCCTTTACACGTCACAATGACCTTCAAAGTCATGAAAGAACACATACTGGAGAGAAACCTTACAAATGTAATGAATGCAGTAAAGTCTTTGCACATCACAGTTATCTCCAAATACATAAAAGAACACATACTGGAGAGAAACCCTACAAATGTAATGAATGTGGCAAAGCCTTTGCCCGTTGCAGTAAACTTAAAATACATGAAAGTACACATACTAGAGAGAAACCCTATGAATGTAATAAATGTGGTAAAGCCTTTGCACTTCCCAGTTATCTACAAAGACATAAAAGAACACATAGTGGAGAGAAACCCTACACATGTAATGAATGTGGTAAAGCCTTTGTACATCACAGTTATCTCCAAATACATAAAAGAATACATACTGGAGAGAAACCCTATGAATGTAATCAATGTGGTAAAGCCTTTTTACGTCATAGTCATCTTCAAACACATAAAAGAACACATACTGGAGAGAAACCCTATGAATGTAATCAATGTGGCAAAGCCTTTGCAGATAGCAGTCATCTTCGAATACATAAAAGAACACATACTAGAGAGAAATCCTATGAATGTAAGCAATGTGGTTAAGCTTTTATATGTAGCAGTATTTGAAATCATGAGAAAAAAATCATACCGGAGAGAAACACTATAAATGTAGTCAGTGTGGAAAAATTTTGCACTTCATGGTAGTCTTTAGACAAGAGTAAAACATTTAGTGTGTAATCAATCTGTTAAAGCCTTTGCACATCATATTAGTTTCTGAGAACCTGAAAGAACTCCTAACAAAGCAGATCTGACTATAAAGTATTTGATAAGATCCTTAGCCAACACAGTCAGTTATACAAGATTATTTATTCCAGAGAAAAAGACCTGACAAGGGTCAAAATCTGTTCAAGCATTATGATGTACATCTTTATTTTACTTGCACCTGTGAACTCATGTGAACAAAATCCCTATGAATTTAAACTATGAGGTAGCCCTTTTAGATTTCACTTTTTTCTTCAATTACATGAAAGAATTCGTCTGGTGTAAAACTTCATCAGTAGTGCCTTTTCTGTTGCTGTGATAAAATGTAATGTCTAAGGCAGCTTATAAAATAGTTTAATTTGGCTTATGGTTCCAAAGGGATATAGTATCACAATGAAAATGGCATGGCAACAAGCATCAGACATGGTAGGTAAAGCAGGAAGTTCAGAGCTCACCTCCTGAATCTGCAGCATGATGCAGAGAGAAGGAGCTGGAAAGGGTATGTGGATGTAAACTCTCAAGCCAACTTCCAGTGACATATTTCCTCCAACAGGATAGAATTTCTTAAATCATCCCAATGATACCACCAACTGAGAAGGATTGATTTCTCTGACTTTAAGCCTACATGCTTGTATTCTGTTCCTTGAACAAATTCATGATGCAGAAAAACTCCATAGGTAAGCCTTTAGATACCTAAACATCTGGGTAACAGGAATGAATGCTTACATGAGAAAAACATCCATGAGTGAAATTTTGTTCAGTGATTTATGTCTTTGTGTGGGTATGTGCATGTGCATGTGCATGCTGGTCCCCAAGATGGTTAGACCCTGTAATCTTCTTGTAGTAGCAATTATAGGAAATTGTCAAAATTCTGGCCTTGGTCCTGGGAATGAACCTGTCTTAACTGCTCTACTATGTCTCTAGCTCTGTAAGTATTTTAAAGCCTTTTTCTTTGATGTTAGGAATAGGAAGCAACTCATACACAAGAAAAACCATATTCATGTAAATGATTTGGTAAAGACTTTAGAAATCACAATTGCCTTCACTTTCAAGAAAAAAGTTTCATCTCTTTTTTCATCATAACCTTGAAGGCAGTGAATTATTTACCATGTTCACTCAAGTGTAATGGTAGAGATCACCAATTGTGGTTTGTACTTTGAAATATTAGGAATATGTATTGAACTGTACTGTATGTGTGGCAAACCCATTTACTGAAGTTTATTTGGTGGTTCACATTTTCCTTCTGTGGCTTCTGTTCATCTTCTAGTGTGCTTTCACCTGGTGATAGGTATTTTTCTGTTGTAATGTATAGAACGGGATGCCCATCATCTAAATGGTCCATCATTTAATTGAATATCAGGCAGTGTGTGATCATACTTTTCAAGTAAGGGAATATGTGAAATGGTGGTCAGTTGTTTTTCCTGGTTTTGCTTTTCATATATTCACAAATTCCCTTGACATGTTGTTTTTACCCAGCCTGGTTTGTATGTCAGTAAATAGTCAAAGCTACATTTGACCTCTTGATTCTCTTGTGTTATCCTCCTAAGTCCAAGTCTAAGACTAGAAGATATACCCCCAACATATCAAGTTTTGTGAACACATTTTAATAATGTTAATGTTAAAATGCCTAGTAGAAGTAACTATAAGAAACATTAAATACCTCCTGTGTGTATCCAAAGCAGCATTTTCATCTCTCTGGTAGAGATGTAATAAAGTAGGATAATCAGCAATCAACTGTATATCTCATAAATACTTTAATGGTTTGGTGGTTTGAAAGAAAATGGCCCCCAAAGGGAGTGTCACTATTAGGAAGTATGACCTTGTTGCAGTTGGTGTGGTTTTGTTAGAGAAAGTGTGTCACTGTGGAGGTAGGCTTTGATGTCTCATATATGCTCATAAAAACTGACCACTTCCTATTGCCTTTGGATCAAGATGTAAGGACTCTCAGCTCAGCCCCATGTTTGCCTGCATGCTGCTTTGCTTGCCACCATGAGTATAAAAGAGTAAACCTCCGAACTGTAAGTGAGTCACCCCATTAAATGTTTTTGTTATAAGGGTTGCTGTGGTCATGGTGTCTTTTCACTCCAATGGAAACCTTAGCTAAGACAATGTACTATGGGCATGTATATGTTCTTTGACATTTCATGCTTCTTCATATCTCCATTAGTTATCCATTGGCACATCATTTTGAAGTACTGCCTAATAATGTAACAGCAACAAAATTTATTTTTTAAAAAACTTTTCTGGTGTGTGTGTGTGTGTGTGTGTGTGTGTGTGTGTGTGTGTGTGTGTGTGTGTGTAATGTGATTATAGGTTTTTAGGCCATGACAGATATATGGAGACTGGAAGACAACTTTGTAGGATATACATTTGGCTATCTATATGTGATGATCAAAGTCAGGTTGCCAGCCTTGCACACATTTTCCACGGAGCCATCTAACTGATGCTCAAATACAATAAGTTGATAAATTGCATCAGTAAACTATTGTGTTTTCAGATGGTAAACATATTGTCAGCTAAGGATGGGGGAAAATATGACAGTTTGAATAATAAATTCTATCTGCAAATGAAAATGATGTACAGCTATTTTTTTTGGACTGTGTTAGTTTATTCTGAGAACTAAATACTTGTTCATAACACTTTGTCAGAAACACAAATGAATGCCAGAGAATTATCTTACTGGGTAAAGTTGGTTATTGCTAAGCCTGATTACCTGAGTTCAATCTCTAGGAGATCTGCATTTTCCCACAAGTTTTTCTCTTATTTCTACATTTGGGCAATGGTATATGCACACTCACATACCCGCACATAAATAAATAATTTTAAAACCCAAATAAGTGCCATTGAGGTCACTTGCAGCCAAACGAACTCCCTATATTTCATCTCTAGAACTCACATAGGAGAAGTAGATAATAATCACCTGTAAGTTGTCCTCTCACTACCACATGTACACTATGGCACAGGTGTATACACACAAACATAGTTCAAACATTTTCAAATGGGTGAAAATTAAAAAAACAAAGAAAATAATTCATTTTTGAGAACATATGGAATGATTTGCCAGTTTAAATTATAATTATAGAATATCAAGAAGTATTACTGTTCATCAGAACAATGATAGTTCCTTTTTAAATATTATTTTATCCTTTCATTCTCTGATTCAAAGATTGGTCATTCTAAAAACATATCTCAGCTGGGTTTTATGCACACCTGTAATTCCAGCACTTAGGAGACAGTGGCAAGCCAACATTTCTGAGTTTTAGGCCAGCTTGGTCCACACAGTGAGTTTCGGGATAGCAATGGCTATGTAGAGATATCCTTTCTCAAAAAAAAAATTTGAAAATGAAAGAGTAATCTCAAATTATGGAACTTATCCTAATATAATCTGACTGGACTCTGACTGGTTTCAATTAAGCCTTTTATTATCTTTACTTACATCAAGAGCATTGTGTTAACAATGAAAATAAGAGACAATGTGGAGAGTCCATTCACAGAGGGATAGAAACCCATTGATTCCTCCTGCAAACATCTGATGGACTTTCATCACTGTCAAGTGATAGAAGGCAGAAGGAATAATGAGACATTGTCACCTTCTGCATTTTAGTAATATATTTAGGAGCTGGAGAGTTTGCTTAGTAGTATTGCTTCTTTTGTGTACCCAAGTTGGGTTTCTAGCACCCACACAGATGGCTGAGGACTACCTGTATTTCCAGATACAGGAGATCTGATGCATTCTTCTGGCCTCCTAGGGTACCAGATAAGCAAATGGTGAATATATATATATTGCTGTGGGATGTTCTGTATGGCAAATGTGTTGCTGATTAGTCATTAAATAAAACACTGATTGGCCATTGGCTAGGCAGGAAGTGTAGGCGGGACAAGGAGGAGAATAAAGCTGGGAAGTGGAAGGCTGAGTCAGAGAGACGCTGCCAGCCGCCACGATGAGAAACAGAATGTGAAGATACCGGTAAGCCACGAGCCATGTGGCAAGGTATAGATTAATGGAAATGGATTAAGTTAAGCTGTAAGAACAGTTAGCAAGAAGCCTGCCATGGCCATACAGTTTGTAACCAATATAAGTCTCTGTGTTTACTTGGTCGGGTCTGAGCGACTGTGGGACTGGCAGGTGACAGAGATTTGTCCTGACTGTGGGCCAGGCAGGAAAACTCCAACTACAAATGGCGTCCAACGTGGTGGCAAGAGTTTCCACCTAAAACCTGAGAAAAGATTCTAAAACGGAGCTAAAAACAGTTCCTAATTGTCTCTCTCAAATGAGCTGCAGCTGCTGGTTTGAGCTACTGGTGGGTTCCTAGCGTGTGTGCTCGACCTGCCTATGGCGGGAATGAGGCCTTTGCAAGTGGCACTTTGAGCTGCATGGTGGATTTAGCCTTTGCTGGTGCAGAGCAAAAGGGGAGGTTTCTGGGCTACACGCTGCTTGGTTAAAAGCATAGACCCCCGATAGCTCCCAGAGCTGGCGGTAAACCATGGCCATGTTGGGAAGCTGAGGTGGGTGGATCCAGCAGCCACAGCTGCTGCAGTTTAAGGCAATAGATTCACAATAAGACAGATTCAGATGTAATAGTTTACAATGTGTGTAAAAGATACGTAGGCTTGAAAGAGACAAAAAAGATGATATATAGAGTTATAGAAATAAATACATAGTTTTAAAAAATAAAGTCTTTAAAGAGACAGTAAAGGTAGTATAAAAAATAAGCCATGTTAAAATGGATATTACACAGAGAATCTGCATTGTGTTGTCTTTGGGACTTTTAACTGCAGAAAAATATTTGATTGTAAAAGCTGTTGAGTTATGCCAAAATGTATATTTTAAAGGTACCTTGACTTCAAAATTTGGATATAAGGATATGTTACTTTGGAAAGGAGACTCTGCTTTTGTTTCCACAGAAAGCCAGAGGCTATGGATTTGTTCAAGATTAAGATACATCAGGTTTGACCAGCCAAGACCCCCTGAAAGGTCTCCTATGACACCATGGCCCAGATGATCCAACATCCAGAATGGTTTCAAGGCAACTGGCTCAGACGATACAGCCTCATGGACTATTCCATAATCCTAAAATTTTCTTTGTTTCCCCATAAGATACAGCGTCCCCCTCCAGCAGGAAGTAGTAAGAGAAGCTACGCCCAAATTCCCAAATTATATGTAATTTTACTTTGTTAAGGTTAAAACCTTCCTTTTTGAAAAAAAAAAGGGAAGTGCTGTGGGATGTTCTGTATGGCAAATGTGTTGCTGATTAGTCATTAAATAAAACACTGATTGGCCATTGGCTAGGCAGGAAGTGTAGGCGGGACAAGGAGGAGAATAAAGCTGGGAAGTGGAAGGCTGAGTCAGAGAGACGCTGCCAGCCGCCACGATGAGAAACAGAATGTGAAGATACCGGTAAGCCACGAGCCATGTGGCAAGGTATAGATTAATGGAAATGGATTAAGTTAAGCTGTAAGAACAGTTAGCAAGAAGCCTGCCATGGCCATACAGTTTGTAACCAATATAAGTCTCTGTGTTTACTTGGTCGGGTCTGAGCGACTGTGGGACTGGCAGGTGACAGAGATTTGTCCTGACTGTGGGCCAGGCAGGAAAACTCCAACTACAATATATATATATATATATATATATATATATATATATATATATATATATATGATTCCATATTGTAAAAAAGGTTTTTATGTATGTATTACTTTAAAAAAATAAGCCGGGCAGTGGTGGGGCATGCCTTTAATCCCAGCACTCGGGAGGCAGAGGCAGGTGAATCTCTGTGAGTTCAAGGCCAGCCTGGTCTCCAAAGCGAGTTCCAGGAAAGGCACAAAACTACACAGAGAAACCCTGTCTCGAAGAAAAAAAAAAGAAAAGAAAAAAATTAATTCAGGTGTATAAGTTTTGCCAGTGTGTATACCAAGTGCATCCCAGGTATCAGCAGAGGCCACAAGAGGGTGTCTAATTTCCCAAGACTGGAATTACAGACAGTTGTATGCCCATAGAGGTCAGAAGACAACTTGCCAGTGTTGGCCCTCTCCCTCCACAGTGTAGGTCCCATGGACTGAACTTAAGTTGTCAGGTTTAGTGGCAGACACCTTTATCAAATGAAGCATTTTAGTGGCCCAAGAATACTTTCTTATAGCCAACTCAAGCAAAGTAGCTGAGCTCATATTTAAATTCAGCACAGAGGCAAGACTGGAAAAAGTGGAGTGCAGATAGTTCAGACAGGAGTTAGCTAGGCTGGAAACATTAGCGTACTTCTGTCAAGTGTCACAAGATCTTTGTATGGATAGGGATCCATTTGGACAGTGTGTGCAGATTCCAAAGGCAAGGATTAACCCCTTCCAGCATTTAGTTTATTTCCTTTGCAGTATATGCACTTAACAGAAACACAAGCCTTCCTCTTCAGGTTTCACTGCTGCTCTGTCTCCATCTTCATTGACAACTCCATAGGTGTCTCCCAAAGTAGAAACAATCTAAGAAAAATGCAAAGCAAGTGCAAAAACAATCACATCATGTATAGCTGTCTCTCTATTGCCAGGGGCAGGAATGCAAACCTTCTGCCCTTTGATTTGTGGCATATCAAAAGGACACCCTGCTCAATAGTGCTTGACACTGCTTTCTAGCCATGTGAAGTGGCTCCAGGACTCTGTCTACTTTGTGTGGATTAGTAGCTAAGAGTGAAAAGACATGTCTGTGACTGGCTGAAGAAAAAGAGTTTTCCTCAAAGTTTGATTTTCCCCTTAACCACTTAACCTGGCAGAATGGAAGTTTTTGCTTGCTTACATAAGTATTGGAGATTTTTGTGTGGGTTTCCTCTTTAAAAGTCCTTCCCCATACCCCTCCTGGACAGCAATCTCAAATTTGGCTCAGAGATTATTCATCTTGTTACTAGCTACTCAATAAATCTTTAAATATAATTGGATTGAGTCTATGGTCTTTTCCCAGGCATCACAAACTCCATTTTCTGGGCATATTCTGGGCACTCATGCAGTATGGGGATTGTAGTTGCTGGGAGCCCTCTCCTGACACCTCTCAAACTAGGAAATAGGGAGTTTGCTCT